GAATGAAAAAAAGCCCCCCATTGTCCCATTTTTTTCCCCTTTTTCCCCCCCCCCCCCCCCCCCCCCCACTGTACCTCTTCTGCTGCACATCAAAGAGGGTGACCCCATCTTGATCCTTAATCAACAAGCAGCCTGTCCCTGCATAGAAGATGTCCTCTGCATTCTGAGCCTGGGTCTTCTTAGTGATCTCATTCTTTAAGTTCTTCAACACAATCTGAAATACACAGAGATATGTTGTTGGAAAATTTTAAACACAATCTGAAATACATAGGGACAATGGACATGTTGTTGGAAAATTTTAAACACGACTTGAAATTAACAGCAACATGATAAAATTAAATTTCTTCGCAGCCATGTTTATCATATCATTTATAATATCTGTATTAACATCACTGACCACAATTCAGGTATACCTTTACAAAAATTAACTAAAAATAATGTCTTTTTAGACAGCTTTTCTTTGCTTTTTTTTTTAAAATGATTTTCTATTATTTTCTACTTACAGTATGGGACCTGTCCAGCACAGCAAACCTGTTCCTAGCCACCCAGACAGCTGACAGTCCTGAAGACCTCTTCCCTTCTGGAGCTAAAACATGGCAAAATATTGGTATAGTTAATAATGACAAAATAAGATAAATGAAAAATTAACAAATATCAAAACAAGGTTTTTACATTGGCCAGTCTGTCTTATACAATGAAGTTCTCCAAGAAGCTTTACAATGTAGGTTTAGAGAATTTACTAGTACCCAATAAATATTAAGATCAGCATCTATATATATATATTTTTTTTTTTATATAAAATAGTAAATATATAGTATAATTATCCCAAACTCCTTTCTGAAATAAGGCTGGCAAATGCAACTGGTATTCCATCTCCAGTCCAAATGAGTTTCGGTAATTTTTAAAGTGAAGAAGGGTGATGAACAAACAACATTTTAAATTTAGCATTTTCTGTCTTTTTTTTTCCTTTGCTAAAACAAATGCCCCCAACTCACCATCTGGGTTCTGTGAGTCGGAATCCTTGGGGATAACATACAGGTCATAGGTGCTGTTCTCCACATTGGACGCTCTCTGGAACACAACACAGCATAGTTACCAAACCACCAGTTACGACTTCTGTTTAAAATTTTACATATGCAAAATATCTTTACTATGGTGGCTTGAGTTTGCAAGAGTGCCATACTAGCACATGAACGTTTTGCCAAATAGTAATGATGATTAATTAAGAAAATGACAAATATTTTTTCATTATCTTATTTTTTCTTTCTTTTCTTTCAATTGGACAGTTGAACTTGGAAATGTAAGCCTTATCTAATGCTTTCAGAAAGAATAGGCTTTACATTGCCATGAAAACTGTTAAATTCCCGAAAGGCTCAAGATGACAACTCTTGCTAACTTACCGTACAGAGGAGGACTGAGTTCTCTGCAGGGTTGTAGGACATGCTGTACACAGGGGTCCTAGAGCCTCTGTGGATAAAATAATGGGAAAAATAAGTACATTTTGGGTGGTATGTATGAAACAGCACCAGTAAAATATGAAGAGGACAAAAATCAACACCAGATTTTTGATGACATTGATACATTGTTGTAGTTGCTGACTTATAGTTTCAGAGAAGCAAGTATGAAGTGAAAGAAGAATTAAGGGCATTTTTTTGCCACAATGCCCTTATACTACTTCTACATTTGTCATAAAACTAATGTAAAATGAAGAAATACATTCTTCTTATATGCCTTTAGAAAGGAGAAAGGCTCCCATCATTTTCAATTTCAGAGTAGGCAAAAAGTTAGGAAGGGCAAAGGTTCCTGTTCAGAGTTCTAACTGCCCCACACTCACCCCCTCAACTGCATCACAGCCACATCTTTGGAAGTCGTGAAATCCAACTTGCGCAGGAATCGCTCCTTGACATAGAACAGTGTGTTTTGGTACACTGCGTAGGCAGGGCGTTCGCGTTCCAGTTTGAAGATGAGCATGCCGCTGTCGTGTCCTGCTGCAAAGATGTTGAGGCTTGGGTGTGCCCCCAGCACCCAGAACCTGTCATGCTCACGGCGGAATGTCTGCACTCCAGTCCTGTAACACGGGGGGAAAAAAACATGGTGGTCAAATAATCAGTAATCACATATTTATAACTGACTGCAGAGTGACTTAATTACAAAGAATTAGAGCATTACATTACATTAAAAAATAACAATTTTAATTGATAACAACAACACTATTGCCAATAATGGAAATTTTTTAAAAGTTATAAAAACTAGNATAAAAACAGTTTTCCACTTATCGTGTTATCGGTAAAAGTGCACGGCGACGGCGACGACAGACGCAGATGATGGCTATATGTACAGACACATCTGTGTCTGTACATAAAAATTACCCTTGGCAATATTCCAGTTATATTAAACATCAAGTTAATATCCCAAATAGAGCCAAACATCAAATTCTCAGTCAATTCATATAGGAATGACTCAATAACTCACCAGTTTCTGTGTGGATATCCATACAGTGGTGGTAGTAAGGGCAGACCCAGGTATATTATTACTACTACTAATACAACTATTACTACAACAGTACACAGTAATAACTCACCAGTTCCTATGTGGATATCCATACAGTGGTGGTAGGGAGGGCAGACCCAGGTACATTGATCTGGACCTGCAGTAGGTCTGTAGGAAGATCTGTTTGTACTCGTCAAACGATACAACACCTATCTGGTCATGGAGCAGCTGGAGAGGAAAAGAATCAAGAGTTTTGCTTTAAAATTTATTTCAAAGTTATAGTGGAAAAATAATGTTGATGATGAAAATATCAGCTGGACAGCCTGCAATACTAGACAGCCTGTGGACTACTAGATACTTCCTGTTGTTTAATTTTGACCACCTATCCCATTATTTTACCCCTGACCCAGTTTGGCTGAAGAGTGCATGTAGTTATGTGTACAGTCAAGGAATAACTAAACCATTCATTTGAAATATTCGACACAATGAAGAAAGACTTATAGTGCCATACAATAACACTTGTTGAGAAAATTCCTTCTTTTTTAACTGAGCATACTAGTATGCACAAAAGACAATGAGGAATACGTCAAGCTACATTGCTCATAGAACACACCCTGATCATTGCCTGAAATAACCCTGCAAAGAATGATAAAAGCTCCTTTTTTTCTAATCTACTGAAGATTGCTGTGCCACATGACTGTGCTTGTTGGGTAAACTCACCCTCATAGCCGTCTCAAAGGAGCCTGCCAACAGGTGATCCACTGGCAGTTGGGAGTTGTTACACCACACCTGGGCCTGGCTGGTACCTTTTGTAGGGGGTACGAAATATCCCTCCTCTCCAGCCTCCGTGACAGGACCCACCTCCTGGAAGACAGTGATTGACAGGTGTCAAGGTGGATTTTGTGATTGACAGGTGTCAAGGTGGATATTGTGATTTATATAGTTGTAGTTCCAATGATATGAAGAAAGAAATTTGAATATCTTATGACAGAGCACATATTGTGTGTGTGTGTGTGTGATATTAAATTTTCATTCTTTATTTGAATTAACAGGAGTATGAATATCATTACCTCAAAGGCTTTCTTTACCTCTACCAACAAAAGAGGTTATGTTTTTTCGTTCACATTGGTTTGTAACTTCTACACAAATGAAATATTGTAATGAAATATTCAAGATAGACAGTTATTTAGGACAGAAAAAGTGAATACAATTCCAATTGAATCCCAGTCACCCTATTTCTGAAAATTATAATTTTTCACAGCCGTGGCTGAGGTCAACCTGGCCACCTTACCAGGTCAGCGGGGAGTTCCAGGTCGTCATCTCCCACGTCCCAGCCACCGCCTTCCTCACCACCTGGGATGATGTCATCCATACCCTCGCCAGGGGGACCAAAACCATCTGAATGGGAAAAGAAAGGACGAATAAACAAGGCAATTTGAAGGTTGAAAATATAAGATTAAAGAACTTAATAGTACAATTATACATAATGAAAGAAAGAATAATCTAAAATCAAGGATATAAAAAAGTAAAATGGATACAATCATATACTTTACCTTGTTTCTCCCATACAGCAGCATGATGGGCAACTATTAAGTTTGTTTAAAAATAAATCAAGATTGGAAACCATCACTACCAATATAAAAATGGCAACAAATATTCTTTCTCATAAGGAGGTGTAATACACACAATTGCCCTCTAAAAATCATCACTGAAATAAGTCAATCTCATACCATCATCAAGCACCAGTTCTGCGTCTTCTCCCCATCCTGCTTCCTCTGTCTCATCAGCAGCCATCATGGATACACCGCCACTGGCAGCCTTGCCTGCTGGAAATATATGGAGCTTGTGAAACAGGAGAACTTGCCCAATATTGTGAGCATCCGGTGTCTTAAAGACATAATTAGTAACTCTTGGATGTGACAGTGCATTTTAGGAGTAAATTTTTAAAATTTAAATGATCATAATAAATTAACATATACTAATTCTTATTATTATCATAATTATTATTATTATTATTATCATAAAAAGTTATTCTTTCCTATGTTTATCAAAGTTTTCATATTTTAAATGTTTTAAAGTGAACTAGTGCTTCACAATGATGCATTTGTTGAGAGGGTGCAACGGAATGGTTGGCACAAACACACACATCCTCTCTCTCTCTCTCTCTCTCTCTCTCTCTCTCTCTCACACACACACACACACACACAAACCTTTAGCAGCCATGGCCCCCTCAAAGAACCCCTTGGTGACAGTGAGGAGAGGCCAGTTAGACTCCTGCTGTGTGATAGGACATGGGGGCTGGAGGAGGGCTGCATTGGGGTACACCTCAGGTAACTTGTCCTTTTCAGGGTCAAAAGTTTCTCTCAGTTCGGCTGCCTCCTCTTCCAGGCCATGAGTGGCTGCCGTCAAGTAGGCCAGGGATTCTGGAATGAAAGGTGTATTTCTCATAAATAGAGAAGCTTTGTAATGTTTGGAGTAGCATATAAACATATATTCAATAGTCGAAAATAAGGAGTTGGTAATCACATTCTTGCACTTCCACAAATGTCAGAAATTAAAATATCACAGAACATCTGGTATCAAGGAATATGGTCATCCTTCATGAAATAAATTTAGAAATGGAAGTAAAAAACATTGAAAAATCATCATTTTAAAAGGTCCCATCTTACTTTGTCCACATCCCTTGAGAATCTTGACCCTCTCGTTGACATCCCCCAGGTAGAGGGCAGTCTGGAAGTGACCACTGGTGTCCTTTCTGATCTCAGCTGAAATAAAATATCATGAAATTTTGAAGTAGTTCAAATTCATATAACATGGCACTAGTGATTCCCTGCTATTGTATATGATTTCTCATGTCACATTTTTTAACCTTTCCAAAAGTTCTTGAAGTTCTGTAGCTAATTTGTTATTTTAAAGAAAAAACAAAGAATGTGACTTCTCAAAGTTCTAAAAACTCTAGGAAACCATCACTACTTAGATAAAACACATATTGCCTTACCAATCTTCATCATCTTCCTCAGCTTCTCCAGGTTTCCAGTGATGAGATACAGGAAAGACAGTTTGTCGAAGTTCTTGGTTCGCTGGTACGCCATTTCTACAATCTGATGATTCCCCTGCAGCAGAGCAACTTCGCCTAATTTCTCCCAGCAATTCTTATCGTCCAGTGCCCTGGCTGCTTCTAGAGCAATCTGAATAATACAGGAAACAACATTTAGTACATAAAAAGCTAAAGGAAAAATAAAGCTTTTAAAAATGACACTTAGAATTTAATAAAGCAGATTTAAAAAAAGCTTTCTAAAATGCCATTCTTCCTGCCACTGAAACACCCATCTTTTGCTTTTTTGTTAAATTTCTTTTTAAATTCAATAAAAACAGACCATGGCAAACATCCACAACATTCACAATTCCACTCCAAAAATGGAAACCAAACCCTAACCTCTATGTTTCCACACTCCAGCGCCAGCCCAAAGCGTGTCCTCTCGTCCTTCACAAAGTGGAGTGCCACCTCAGGGTAGCCCTTCTTCTGCAGGTACGCTATGATGGACTGGCCTACCAGCTTGGCGTTTCGCACCATGTGCAGGACCTGAACCATAGCAAATATATACATATGGAGTTAAATAATGTCAGAGTCATCGTCCTTGAAGGTCATTTTACACTATTAAAGGTTGCTTACAAATTACTTTATTACAAAAATTAAAATAGCCAACTTCAATAATGTAAATATTTTGTGCTATGATGGTATAATTATGCAACTCAAAAATAGTTTAATCAATTTTCAAACTGATAAACTGTACAGTACAACATCCGCAAGAAAGTTCACTTCTTTTTCTTCTATATAGTGCATCTGAATTTCTATTCCTTGAAGTTTTGACTTTTGATCTGAGCTAATTATCTATTTACAATCAAACTGCAAACACAGAACCAATGGGGTCAGCACCCCCTACAACTGACCTCATCGTACTTCCTGTTGACCAGTGCCAGTTTAAACTTGAACTCAGTGGGGTCAATGCCCAGCACCCTGGGTCTGCACTCCCTGTCCAGGCAGTAGACGCTGTTCCCCTTGATACGAGTGATGTAGATAGGGAGGTCCAGGGTGCGGATGATACCATGGTCACTGGGAGAGGGTGAAGGAAGAAGATGGAATTTAAGTCACTGGCTACAATTAATTCATTGGGATACAATGATGAAGAAGATAATCTGGATTTTAGTTATTTTGCCTTTCACTGTATACTCATAATATAATGAAGAAAAAACAAGCAGAGAGAGAGAGAGAGAAGAGAGAGAGAGAGAGAGAGACTGTGTAAAAAAATAGACAGCACATCTCTCTTCAGAAGAAAGCAACATCTTTTTTTAATCATAACTATACTTTCCCTTATTGTGGCTATCTAAATTCAAACCCTCTACTCACCCATTGACCAGTGCATATTTGATGTGGTTACTAGTTGTGTAGACAAACACCCCACTCTCGTCCCAGGCACCGCTCTTCACACGGATGTTCTCGTGGATGGTACACAGGTTGTCTAGCTTCCTGTTGCAGATAGCAATGGCTGGAAATACATTACAAGATAAGATTTTGTTCTACAAACAATCCAAGCAAAGTCCCTTTAACATATATCATACTTATTTTGGCAATGATCCTTACTCTCAGTTGGGGCAATACAGTTTTTTAAGTATATAATACCAGTTGTTCTAAACTTATTGTTTGTAGAAAATTCCTGGACCAATATGGCTAACTCATAAATATGAAGTCTAGTATTCAAATTTAGCAGGCTGAGCTAAATCCCCAAATACTACACTTTTTGTTAAACAGGCTAAAGAAGTGAACAGCCTTAATATTTAAGAGCTTACCATGTTTGCTGAGAAGAGCCACATGGGACATATCACTGGACCATACCACATATTTCACCTTGGATAACTTCACTGTGGCCAGGGTTCTGAAAACAATTCAATATAAAACATTGGTATCACTGTTATATCAACTGTAGGTGGTCTGATGGCACATAGTTAACTTACACTAGTCTACTAACATTTGCTTGATTTGCTCTCTAAACTGGACTGCAATTTTGGCAAAATAAAAAGTGAATATCATAACTCAGTAGTTCTGAAATTAAAGCCCTGATAATTGTAGCCGTGCATTGCAAATTTCTGCACTACCAAAGAGTAAGAAAGTAAACTTAATCAGCAATGAGATGAGAAAAAGCTCCCATTGATCCCATTTCTGTCACTGTTCCCCC